GACGACCGTCAATCGACCAAAACAACTCACCGCTGAATAAGCGTACAGTTTGTGAGGGAGGCATCCATTTTTTGCCAGAAACGACAGCCGTTGGCCTATCTCCTCCATTAGAATGCCTAAAGCCACAAATTTACGGGAAAGTGCTTTCTGGACTGCAATACTTGAATGGTCTTCATAAAACAAGTTCAAACAACGCAGACTTCTTTGTTTCTTTTTATAATTTTAAAATTTGCAGGCAGTGCTGATATACACTGTCAAAAATCGGCAAACGAGACTTTCGATTCGATGAGTGGTTGAGTGTTATTAGAGCCCGGAGTTTGCAATTCTACACTCACTTATATGGCCACATTAGCGAGAAGTTATTTGCAATTTTACTGCGGGTTCTTTGAATAGGAATTTGACTGACAAGCATTTCTATGCAGTGTATAGGAAGAGGACAGCAATCACAATTTTTTAAAGAAATGGAACGAACGTACAAACCGCACTCCACATCGAAATCGAAATTGAGGTTAACGTGCTGATTATTACAGTGGGTAGCTGGCTGTCAGGTGGGTCAAGACGAGGCGCAGTCACAAAGGGCTCTGGCTCAGGCAATATGACCGTACACTTGCTCTATCACCAGAACACCACGATGCCCTAATATTCATAATTCAATTACCTGTTCCTTGACTGGATGTGTCGAAGCAACGTGGGCTAAATTACTCGTCCAAGAGAATTCGTGGTTAGGACAAAGAACGCCCTCTGTGGATTCGAACTGCACCTCCAAAGTTCAACGCCAGCCGAATGTTATTGTTCCGCAGAGCCCCAGTACTCAAGATGACAAGTAAAAAGCATTAGTTCATCGAGCATTCGCTGAGTACCAACCAAGGTTACCCATGCGCGGACAACACCCTTGTCTTGAAAAATTGGGCAAGCGCATTTCATCAGGCTTTGGAGACCTCTGGAAAATATAGTTTGCGATTTTTTTAGTGCTCAAAGGACCTGAAGATCAATCATGAAACGAAAAGAATCACTATAATTTTCGATTATTAAACAGGCATGCGTGAATGTACTGACCTCCTCGTACTCGTTTGGTGATAGGATCGCTGTAGTAGAAGGTAGTCGACACGTTATAAAGGTAAATTATTTTCTTCCAAACGGTGTCGTTAACCCACGCCGGCATTCTGTGAGTTTCGTTATTCACTCTCTAAACAGAATAAGGTTTCTGTCTGGGTGAGCTTAAAAAATGTCAAAGAAATAACACGAAACATAAATTTGGCGGGGGGGGGGAGGTTTCTGTCATTGAGTTGCCTTTAAAGCAACCGTAGTATCAAAGCCACACTCTAGGCGACCGATGGGTAACTCGAGGGCAAAGCGTCTAAGTACTTTCAGCACTTTGCATTGCCATGCTTTGAAATCTGATCGGTGGAGCTTCACGGATCTTTGGGACCATTGCAAGACCGCCTGAAACTGCTCGATAGTCTGTCTGTGAGTCAGTCAGTTTCGACGTTTGCTCATCTATTCTGGTCGCGGAGGCAGACGGGTCAGAGAGTGGGTCCAATGTTACTGATCCTGCATCAGCGTCTGAACTTTGGCAATAGATAATTGACAGGTCATTCTTGGTCTACCGCAGGATCTTCGCTTTATTTCCGTAAGCATTTGCATTTCCAAGACGTGTCCAAGCCATCGTAGCTGTGACTTTAATTATATGAAAAACACTAGTCATGCAGCGCAGCCCAGACAAGCAGGTTTCTTAAATTTGCTTAAATGCTTATAACTGATAGGCGCTGGAAAACTGTTCTTGATGACCATTTTCAAACGCTGGCATTCGTTTCCGCCATTTTGTTCAAGCAAGCAAAATGATCCTGAATCGCATCAGGAGGAAAATGAGGCAATGACGACGCAGTGGTACGCAGAGGTCAGCGGCGACCTTCGAAAGCACCGGGTTGGAACTCAAAAAATTTCTCGTACTCGCTGACTCCATTGAGCAGCGAATTTTCCTCGAGTTGCCTCGATGCAATCGACCAAAAAACCCGGGGAACGGTGGCAAGTTGTTTACTTGCGAACAACAACGAAAG